CGTTACGAATCTTGTCCAATTATGAAAATGTGGAAAGAAAAACGGGGATTCCGGTGTGAAACACAGAGAGCTCGTTCCTCGTCGAATTCCCCTCCTTTCGCAGACTCGCATCTCGACAGATAAAAATAGGGCAATGGAAATTTTGTGGGTTGCCGCCCCATGGTATACTTTTTTCAACGGACGAATTCAGAACCTTGAAATTCCGACGAGCAGAGGAACGAATCTGACGGAAAGACTAAAGAACAGCGATTATATCGGAACAGGATATCCGTAACTTCGGATAAAACGGAACACTTCCACTTCGACGTGTCCCTATCACCAACTCGAAAGCTACTTCCTGCCTTTTCGAGAAATCGAGCGTAACGAGAAAAAATGTTCCCCGGCGTGTCTGCGAAAGATATACTTTTACGAAGCAAACGTCTTCGATAGGGATTTCACGCAACCTCGAGACATTTAGCATTCAAAAGCGCAGAAAGAAATGCGGCTCTAAAAACAGCCTCCACTCCATGCCCTAGTATCGACGTTAGAAATGAGAAATCGATTTAACTGGAGCCAGCACGCCTTCGCGTATTAGAATGCAGCACGGAAGATCTTTATATGTATATGGCATCGCTGGCGAGCTGCAGTGCGCGCGTACATTGCGACACTCTACGTCTGAAACGACACGGAATTGCGATCAGATGTTAATAAAACGAATCTCTGCATCTCTTTTCCATCCGTTAGCGATACCCTTCACGGGAGTTCCCTCCGAATCGTGGGCCGTACTACGAACGATGGGCTTCATGGAAGTCTACGAATCGAACGCTGCTACACCCGATCAAAACGTCCGCGAAACGGTCCAATTTAGCCTTCGCGAATCCCTAAAGGCGTGACTGGCAAAGATCGAGAAAAAGCCGCGGTGAACGAAAGCGAAACAGGAAGAACTAAAGCCAAGCAACGTAATCCAAATTCATCGAGTCGAGTCCACTACTCTATCCGTGAAAGGAAAATCGTCGAAACTTACCCCAGCTAGCACCCGTGCGCCCGAGGAACTGTCCTGTCTCAGGGTTCCATAAAAAGATCTTAAAACCTTCCCATTTGCCGAGCTTCGGCGGCGGACTGTAGTACTGCTCGACTTTCTTGTCCTCCATTTCCGATCCCGTTCGAACTCAAACTACGATGAGCGAAGAGAGAGCAGCGTCCGCAAGCTCTCTCGCGTCCAACACCACGGATCGTCGACGTGCGGTTCCCTTTCTCAGGTTCCTCCGGCTCCTGCCGTTGGTCTTGCTCGTCTCCTGAAGGAACAGTGGCGCGGCCGAGGACGCAAAAGAAGGAAGGAAGGGTTGATTCGTGCCCTCGTCTGGAGCCGCTGTTCTCGGGCGCACTCGTCCGGCCAAGGGATGAATATTGAGCGATCGAAGCCAGCCTGGCCCCGAGCTTTTCAGGCCGCCCCTCCTTCTCTCGTTCTCTTCCACTCCTTCTCTCTGTCCCTCCAGTCGGCAATTGCTCCCCTCTCCCGGCTCCGGAATCGCTACCCTTTTCTACCCTACCGCGTCAACGTATCGCGCAGCCGCGTCGATATCCCACCCCTCCGCCAACCACCCCACTCACCCCTAGCTAGCTCGTCCTCCTTTATCTCGACCAGGTGGCACTACCGGCAACGGCGACCGGCTCTCGCTCGTTCCTTCTCCCTCGAACGAACCCGCGGCGCACTCTTCTTTATTATCTCTCTTCTCGTTTCTCTCGCGGATTCGATCGACCCCGCTGCGTGAAACGGCGCGACGCGACGCGACGCGACGCGACTCGGCGCGGCTCGGCACGGCGCGGCGCCTCCTCGCAGCAACGGATCCTATTCGAACCGCACACGACAGATGCAGGAGAAAACGATCCTCTCCGAGCGCACCCGCCTACTTCCCTTTTCGCCGACCCTTCGGCCACGCTCCGAGAGATACGAGAGTCACTCGGTGAACTCTCCCGGTGTCCTCTCGGACGGAAGGGGCGAGAGACGGGAGTCGGCTAGCGAACTGGAGCCACCGAGAGGGGAAAGGGATGAATGGGGCAAAGATGAGAAAAAGATAGGTCGAGGATTTTGAAACGCGTCCGACAGCCACGGAATCTCGAGAGAGAATGACTAAACGGCGGGAGAGCTTTTCATGCGACTTCCTTCTTCCTGTTGTAGGGCGATCGCTCGACGTTATCGCCTCGCGATACGCGCTTGGACAGTTGACGTTTCACGCTCCTTACGTACCCCTTTGCTCCGATTTCAGCTCGGACTTGGCGAATTTCTGCTTGACACTTGCAATCGGCTCGGGCTGTCAAGTACGTCCGTAAGCCCATACCCTAGGATTTCGCCTCTCAGTTCATGAAAGTTAATTTATTAACGATTTCTCGGTCCGGGAAGTAATTGCATGTTCGTTATAGATGTTGACCGTTCTTGAAAGGACGATAGTATTTTCTTTGATTGACGTGGACCGAGTGATATTTGGATTTATTAAATTTAATAAGCCTTCGTTGAGAGTTTGCGTCGATATTCAAAGATACAACGAGAAGCTAAATTGACTTGTATTGAAATACTTCGAATTCTTCTTTGGAAATGATATTCGAGACATGTCTTTTCTCGAAAGAAATGATGCAAGGTAATAAGAATAAGAAGTAAATACTCTTCACAAAATGAATTTCTGTTCGGTAATAACCTCGCATCGATTTTTAAAGGTAACAATTTCTTATTTCTGTAAGATAGAAGCATTTATAAAACTCATACTTTTAGTTGACAAAATTGTACTCCAACGCATTCGGGATTTAATAGCATATGCTTCAGTCGTTTGTTCCGCTTTAATCGTAGCGATTAATGTTCCATTTCCTATCGCGTTCCGAGAATACAACCCTATAAAATCTGAAATTAACGGTTAAATAAGCACGATAAAATAACATCGTTCACGTGACGTTGTCAACTGGTTGCAAAAGGATAAAAGAGTTATTTCATATTATTTTTTTGACATGTCGAAATATACATGGAAGAGGATACGAAAAATACAATAAATTTTATTACCTGTGCATTTGACCAGCCATCGTATTAGTATCATTCTGAACGCTATATTGTATGCAGGACCTCGTATAAATATAACTTGACGAATTTCCTTGAATGCCATACCACATCCGTACAAATGTCGATAAGGCATTATGTATATCCATTAAGTGCCATTATGGCTGAAACAAATTGTATTTATTGCAAGCCGTCTCCTATTATCAAAATATACAACGTAAATTATATATAAATTAATAAATTAGAACGTATATTTCATTAACAATCGAATCGGCTTTCCGTAAAGGAAATTTAATTAAAATCGCTGGTACAATTTTAGACAAATTTTACATGTACGGAGCAATTTAGTAAAAGAAAATAAGGATAATGATAGTTCATGTTGTTTCTAATTATAAGAGTTTATTCTTAGCATAGCGGTAAGAGTGTATTCCACATAGAACCATAAGACGTTAGCTGTATTGCTTACTTTGCACCATACATGCCCACTCTTACATAACGAAAGTCTTATGGATCGATTGTACTCACAATACTCGATTCAATGGTACTTACTAATGAAATTTAATAATTACGGCATCGAGTACAGTTTACATTAATATTCTATAGTTGGATGAAGGATGTCACTAGGAAACGAAATTTTGAAAAAATCATAAAGTTAATGGTTCAATAACCCACCAACAATTACATAAACACAAGGCGAGCGAGACAATTTCGTAAGGAACCAGTCAAAGACAATCAATTACTTGCATCGTATACTATAGTTTATGAACATAAGTCTACATAAAAAAGTCGTATTGTAGAACGAACTGTTTTAAGTTTAATATAAAAAATTAATTTAATCTTCGAAAGTACAGAATGCGTAGTCCGAATAAAATTCTATCACAAAACCTTCATTTCTCTTTATGAAACATCCCATTTCCTTTCTCCTTTTAAAAATTTAATAAATTATATTTATTCTTATCGACTTATCCAAGAATTCTCGAAGTAATTTATCTTAATGTATTATTTATAGAAATTTTAATACAAGATCGAGGATGGAAAATTGTCCTAATAAGATTGACTATCTAAATGTTAATTTGAATATTTAAATATTATGCCTTCTCCTGGCTGCAATAACTATATACGGAATACGGAATACGTCCCTTAATAACACAGGATGAAGTCCACAGGGTTAAATTTTGCATAGCGAATAATCCTACGTATAAATGAAGCAAGATAATATCACTGAAAAGTCAACATTTTACAAAATATTTCGTTCCTCGCGTGCAGAAATTATGACGAAAATTTTGATAAATTATAAGTGCAGTATACTTTAATTTTCCGGTATAAAAATATAACACATCTATTAAAACAATAATTATATGATAGAGTTCTATATGATTTTTCCTTTTTCTTTTTTCTAATTTTAGTTTAAGCAGGGCTGTAACGTGCCCCAGTTACTAGAACCGGCCTTCGTTTAAAGAAATGGATTATATTTCAATACACTTTAACAATATCAAACCGTATCTAAACTTGCACATTTAATCACGTATAATGCGAATCATAAGACATATAATTCTAAAATTTAATAAATTTCTGAAGCAAAATTTAGTTAATTTTCCTCGCGAATGAATTGTTACTTTGCAAGAATTAACAAATTTTTCTCCGCTAATAATAATAACAGAAATAATATCAATTGTTGCTATCAGATATAAGACAAATACACTTTTTTAACAACGTGTATACGCCGCAAACATACCTTCGAAAATTGCGAACAACTTGGTTGGTAACGTTTTTTATTAAATATTTCATTACAGGAGGTTAAAATATTTATAATGCATTCAGATAACAGAATTTACAAATATATCTCAATATTTCCATATGTATGTATATATATGTATATATATATATAAATATATATATATATATATATATACACATCCGTATGTACATATATATGCATATATATATACATAATAAATATCTATATATATACATATATATATACACAATATATATACATACACACATATATATATGTATATATAGTATGTATATACACATCACATATTTGTATGTAAATCTTTCTCTTTACCCCTACCACACTGTCTCATACATACAACGCGTACCATGCTCACACGCACGCAGTCATTCTCCCTTGCATACC